GTTGCCTGTACTGTTGTCTGTTCTTGTGTGTAATGCTTACGGTGTCTGTGAACCTGTGTAGCATCCCCTGTCCCCAAGAGGAATGTGGGGGTGGGGGTGGGGGTGGCTTCACGTCGCCTGTGTTTTTGTACCTGTGTGCACATACGCTACGTCACGTTATGTGTGTGTACCTGTATGTTGTACCTGTGTGTATACACTATCTGTGTGTACATATTACGCTCTATGTGTGTACCGTCGCCTGAACTTGGTCTTTTCTCGGGAGTTATGACGTCACAAGATCAGGTCCATTTACCAGAGATACATGCCTCTACTATACCTCAACCACAGATACCTCTACTATACCTCAACCACAGATACCTCTACTATACCTCAACTACAGATACCTCTACCATACCTCAACCACAGATACCTCTACTATACCTCAACCACAGATACCTCTACTATACCTCAACCACAGATACCTCTTCTATACTTCAACCACAGATACCTGCCTCTACTATACCTCAACCACAGATACTCTACCGTACACCTCAACCAGAGATATCTCTACCATATATATACACATGTACACACATATATATATATATTCTAGAGAGAGCACTGTTCGGGTGGTAGATATCTCTGTCCAGAAATCAGGATTCTAAAATTATTGTTGCCAGTATTATGTTTTGTTTGTTGTAATTGTAATGTCCGTACAATAATAAGAGTTTTACGGCGCTTGTAACACGCATAGATAGAGGTTATATTTAGTATGAGATTAGAGGTGTGACCAGAGGTTCCCAGGAAGAGATAAGGGCCCTAGAGGAATCACGTGACAGAGACAGAAGGAGGGCGCGTCGTGCCAGGCCTCACAGCTGTGTTGCCACACTGTCACAGTCCAAGTGTTGTTGACAAAGTCTTACAACGAGATGTGTACGTAGCGTGTATCATCTGTCAAATGAGTTCCCATGGACGGTGGTTGGAGGGTGTCACTGGTAGGTCCTACATCTTTACTCCCCCCCTGGTGTAGTTTCTGTCTGTGTGA